ACAAATACCACATTGTTTTACTCATATGTGGAATTTAAGAAACAAAAATAAATGAACAAGGTGACATAAAAAAAAACATGCTCTTAAATACAGAGAACAACCTGCTGGTTTCTAGAGGGGAGGTGGTGGGGGAAGGGTGAAGCAGCTAAAGAGGATTAAGAGTACACTTATCTTGATGAGCACTGAGAAATATATAGAATTGTTGAATCATTATATTGTACACCTGAAAGGAATATATATAACATTGTATGTTAGTTATACTTTTTAAAAAATATAATTTATTGTCAAGTTGGCTAGCATACAGTGTATACAGTGTGCTCTTGGTTTTGGATTACTGTGATTCATCGCTTGCATACAATACCCATTGCTAATCCCAACAAGTGACCTCCTCAAAGCCCATCACCCATTTTCCCTTCTCCCCCATGGCCCCCCCATCAACCCTCAGTTTTTTATGTGAATTATACTTTAATAAACCAAAGAATCAGGGAGATGGTTTGAATCAGGATTGGGAATATCATAATCTCTGTGTATATATATCTAAATATTCATAACTATGTATCCATTTCACCTTAGAAAAAAAATTTAAATTTAATGATGTCCATGGTATATGATAAAAACATAATTACACCAATGTATCCCATTCTGCATGCTCTTCTTATGAAATGATATTGACACTCCAATGAAAGATACAAGTTATGTTCCCTTCACATAAAGCTGGCTTTAGTGACTCACTTCTAGTGACAAGAATATGTTGGAAGTGATAGAATATGACTTACTTCTGAAGCCAGGTTGTGGAAAGAAATACAGACTTGTCTCTCTCCTTTCCACTGCCCTTTCACCTTTGCCCTCCTCCCCTCCTCCTGGTTATTTCTTTTCTTTCATTCACATGTAAGTATTCCAATTTTCTTGAAATTGCCATGATATCATCTAGAGATGAAGAGAGATTAATGAGGATTCCTGGCTGTTCCAGCCTTTAGCTATTAAATTCTCCTGGCCCAGCCCCACACCTTGGAGTAAGCCAGTACCAGATGATTCCAGCCCCTTCTCTGATGTTAAGTAGAGCCAGTAGTCAAGATGTCCTCACCAGCTCCTAGAAGAAGAGAAACAAGCTGTCTTTACTGAGCACTGACTAAAATTCCACATTTGTGAGCAAAATAATGTTGGTTTAAGCTACTAAGTCTGGAGTGATTTGCTATACAACAGCCTAATCAAGCTGGAACAATGTCTAACTTAATTTTCTATATGATTAATAACAATCTAATAAAACTCAGAAAATCCATCTCTACCCAATGCTTAGAATTACCTTCCGTTGGTCAAAGTGTAAGAAAAGTCCCCAGGAGACCACCCTTACTTCAGATGCTTCCAATGAACTCAGGGGTCCCAGGACCTCCACCATTTTATAGCTGGCTATAAACTTGGGGGGGTCATCACAATCACCATTGTGTTCAATGATGTATTAGACAAATTTACAAAATTCAGAAAAGCACTATACTCAGAATTAAAGTTTTATTATAACAAAAAGATACAGATTAAAATAGCAGAGGTAGGAGATGCATTGAGCAGAGTCCAGTAAGGGTTCAAAGTGTGAAGTTTCTGGTTGTCCTTTCCCTGTGGAGTCATGGATGGTTGTTAGCTCCTCTTGGTCACCATATGTGACTACACAGTGTTACTGCCAACCAGGGATGCTCATTTGAGTATTTGGTGTCCAGAATTGTTGTTGGGGCTTGATTACATATTGCTCATGTGGTGGCTTTTATTCTCCTGTCCCTCCAGGAAGTCAAGCTATACCTCTAGTCTTCAGCTATTGTTGAGGTCAGAACTGATATGATGTGACCCAAAACCCTCATCGTAAATCACACTGATAGACTGTCCAGTGGCAAAGCCACCAGGCAAATTGGAGACAATTTTGTAAGACAGGACATTCCAGAGGTCTAGAGATCACCATCCAGGAACTGAAGGCTTCTGGTTATGTATTATGCATCCTGAGTGACATGAGATATAGATTTATTTATTTTTGTATAATTATATTATTTAATATTTATCTTTTCTCCACTGTTTTAAGTTATTGTCTTTATTGTATAATATATGGCATATATACTTGGGCATTTGTAATGATGCTATTCTGCTCAAATAAGCTGTCTTTTCCTGCAATTAGCTTCATTTTTTGCAACATTTTATAATATATTTTAATTCTAGTAGGGCAGGGGTCCCTGGTTATATCATTTTCAATGATTTGTTCTTCCACTTAAATTTCAGAATTATTTTGTCAAGATTCTAATCATGAATCATTGAAATTTGTTTGGATTGGCCTTGATTTTATGAATTCATTGATGGAAAAAGAATGGCCTTCAAATATTGTTGGTTATTGGTTTTTATTAATGCAAGAAAGCAAAACCATGTAAGATCTCATAAGCTAGGATACAAAATTAGTTCCTATTTAAAAGAACTTAAAATTTTTTTTATTGTTTGTTCCTTTTTTCAGAGAGAGAGAGAGAGAGCATGAGCAGGGCAGGGGCAGAGAGAGAGAGAGAGGGAGATACAGAATCTGAAACAGGCTCTAGACTCTGGACTCTCAGCACAGGGCCCAACACGGGGGCTTGAACTCATAAACCGTGAGATCATGACCTGAACTGAAGTTGGATGCTGAAACGACAAAGCACCCAGGAATCCCAAGAAAGAACTTATTTGGTTCATTTATCATTAACTTATTCATTTATTTGACTCTTCTAATCTGACCACTAATGCCAAACATGGTGCTAGTGATCGGGATACAGGATTTGTGGAGAATTCCGACCAGCACCATTCTCCATGAGTAGTGTGATTAGCCAAAGAACAAGCTTAAAAGTTGTGATAGGTCGAGGATTCTGTGCAGTACTATGGCAGCACTTGATAGGACTTTGGGGACACTCTACAAGAAGAGATTCTTTAGAAGTTCTATGCAGAGGGTGCCTGGGTGGCTCAGTCGGTTGAGCGTCCCACTTCGGCTCAGGTCATGATCTCATGGTCTGTGAGTCTGAGCCCCATTTCAGGCTCTGTGCTGACAGCTCACAGCCTGGAGCCTGCTTCAGATCTGTGTCTCCCTCTCTCTCTCTCTGCCCCTGCCCCATCATGCTCTGTCTCTCTCTCTCTGTCAAAAATAAATAAATATTTTAAAAAATTAAAAAAAATAATAATTAAAAAAAAACAAGTTCTATGCAGGGAATTCACCGGACCATAGATGTAAAAGTGAGAAAACAAGTCTAGGAAGAAAGGATTCTTTCTGGTTGCTACCTGTCATTGTCATCCATCAGGATCTCGCAGGGACAGAAAAAAAAAGAATGACTGATGCAGGATTCTGATGTGGTACCAGAGCACAGCTTCTGCAGGGAAGGCTGTGTGGATATGACTATGAGCAGGTACCCCCATGCTTATCTACATTTGTTGATGATTCTTTCTGTTGATGTATTGATTGTTCCAGGCTCTTCATTCTGCCACTCCTTCCCTCAGCCCCTGCTTTCCTTCTGCTGACACCTGACTTTGAACAAGTCTCCCTACAGGACCTGTCCTGTAGGCACAACTTGCAGTACCATTTGGACATCACAACTTAGAATACAGCCATCTGAGTTGACTTATGAATGGTCTTTCATGACTTTGAGAGTGGTTAGTACTGTCTTGTGCATTCTGCAATGGATGTGGAAGATTGTTTTGGACAAACTTTCTTCTTTTGACTTAATGAGAAAGACATATGCTATATCTGGACCCAGAAGTTGAGAGGATACTATAACACATGAGAGGGTATTTCACAAAATACCCTGGGGAGAACATCTAGGGTAAAGCCATTGGCCTAGGAAACCCGTTAGAGTAAAAAACCTGGAAGACAATAAGGACAGATGGAGCTAGAGCTGCTAACAACATTTTACCAGGGTATCCAACAACAGGGGCTGTATCTCTGACGCCTTCAGGAGCATGTCTACCCCAGTCATGGAGTAAGGTCCTACCGGCTTCCCACACTTATACATATCTGGGAAAGAGAGCCTTTGGAATATAAGCGGCCAGGACCTCCTCTACTTCCAGATTTAGCTTTAATTTCACTGTCTCCTCTCAGGCTCCTCCAGGACTGCCAAAGACTGGAACATGCCCAGAACTGCTAGGGTCAACCAGCCTCATCCCCTGGGAGCTTAGGGAAACCTCCAGGGTCAAGTTTATCCAAAATAGCAGTGGTGGCTTGAGAGTATGCGTTTGGGAAGGAGGGAGTAGCAAAGAGCTAATTCTGGGCACCTAGGGGGACTTTCCTTAGGTTACTTAAAGGGCCATACCATGGATTGTGGGTGCCGAGAGTGACGAGTGGAGACATGCCGGGCACAGAGTGTGTTCCCCATGAGCCACACGGGTGTATGTGTAGCTATAGCAACATACAGCCACACACACTCACACACACACATTTGAAGAAGGTGTCCAGGACCAGCTTCCCACACTCTGCCTGCCTCCTATTCCGGTAAGTGGTTCAGGTGAGGTGGCTTCGCACTTCCATCCTGGTATCCTGGTCTCAGGTTCCCAGAGCCCTGTCACTTGCTTCATTCTTGATCCTCACTGAACAGTTCTTTTGTGGACTTATTTCATCTTAAGTGGACTGAGAGTGGTTTTGAATACTCTGTCACAGTGGTTGGTATTTCTATCCACATTTGCCGCACAGGCTTCAAGTGACATTCTCTAAATGGATACACATTCAAAATTACACATAATAATTTTTGTGAAAATGATGTCGTGTGTGAATAATGATTCAGTTCATCATGAATGACACATTCAAAATGAAATATGTATTTGTCAGATGTTACACCACATTATTATAACTCTAACATGACAGCATTCTACTATGCTACATGACATATGTTAGCTTGATTCCAGAATCATTTTTGAGTGTCTACACATTCCACCTTTTTAGTTTTCCATTTTGAAAACATTGATTCTTTTGGAGTTTGAGGTTCATGAAGTTTTTTTTATTGTTCTTCTCAGGTATTTCCCCAAAGAATCACCATGACCGTTTGCAATGCATCCCTGGGTCACCCACCTTTCTTCATTCTCCAAGGCATTCCTGGGATGGAGGACAAGCACAGATGGATCTCTGTCCCCTTCTCTTCCATGTACTTCATCACCATCCTTGGGAACTGCACCATCATCTTCACCATCTGCACAGAGCGCTCCCTGCACAAACCCATGTTCCTGCTCCTCTGCATGTTGGCCCTCACAGACCTGGGCATGTCCACTACCACCATTCCTAAGGTGCTGTGCATCTTCTGGTTTGGCCAGAGTGAGATCAGCTATGTGGGCTGCCTGGTCCAAATGTTCTTCATCCACTTCATATCTGTGTTGCAGTCAGCCATCCTGATGACCATGGCCTTTGACCGCTATGTAGCCATCTGTGAACCTCTGCGTTATGCCACCATCCTTTCCAATAGTCGCATTGGGCTCATTGGCCTGGTGAGTTTAGTGAGAGCCATCCTTTTCATTCTGCCCATGCCTGTCCTCCTCCAGAAGATGCCCTTTCGTGTAAATCACGTCATCCCCACCACCTACTGTGAGCACATGGCTGTGGTGAAGATGGTGTGTGTGGACACCACAGTCAACAGGATATATGGTCTCGTGGTGGCCTTGTTGGTTATTGGGCTGGACATCTCAGCTATTGCTTCATCGTATGTGCTTATCATCCAGGCTGTACTGCGACTATCTTCTAAGGAAGCCCACCACAAAGCAGTCAACACCTGCACCACACACATTTGTGTCATGCTTATCTCATACACCCCCTCGCTGTTCTCTTTTCTCACTCACCGCTTTGTTAGGGGAATTGCACCCCATGTGCACACCATTCTTGGGAACCTCTACTTCCTTGTTCCTCCAATGCTCAATCCTATTATTTATGCAGTGAAAACCAAAGAGTTTCGGGACAAATTGACCAAATACGGGTGCTGGAAGAAGGACCCTGTAACCATAACCCATGGTCAGAAGCCTGTCTGATCATCCAGCAGTAGTGGGTATGAGGAAAAAAATGTTTAGTGGAGGCAGTTCCTGGGAGTATTGACTGGTGATGAGATATGTCGTATTGGGCAGATTGACTGTCCCACTCTTGGACAGAGAGGCTATGTCACAGGAGACCTCCTTGCTCTCAGTAACTCTAAAGGAAGAATCGTTGCCTATGAAGTTAGAATAATGACATATTCTCTCCTTTCTTGACATGCCAGTTGGGAAAGTTATATTGATCATGTTTTTAAAAGCACTTTCAACAAAACACACAGAGTGCATAGAAAATAAGTTAGGATGTTTCCATATGGAGACAACATTGAGCAAAAATAACTGGCCCACCACTTTACCATGTAAGAGCAAGAATTATGTGGGTGTGCGCATGCATTTGTATTTGTTTGCTTCAGGGGAAACGGGGGGGTGGAGATTGGGGGCAATGAGAAAGGACAAGGAAGAGTAAATTAACATTTACAGTCACTGCTTTATTTTCTCTGCTAGTTCACCCTATGTTTGGGTAAGAGACTGGTTATTTCCATGAAGAACAAAGGAATATGCACAGGAGACATGAGCTGCCAGTCTCAGACAGCTCTCAGAGGAAAAGGAAAAAGGTGAAGCTCCTGACCGTAAAGGTTTACAAGCATTGGACCTAATTTCCTACTTGTAGAAACTCCCAGAGTCAACTGTTCTGCTCCTCTGAATGAATTCACTGTTTGACAAGATTCTCTCACAAAGAAAATGTCTGAGAATGCCCTGCTAATGGTCATAGTTATAAAAATCTGTTTTATACTGGAAACCTTTGAATGCAGACCTCTGTAAGGCAATTTCTATGGGTGCCCAGGAGGACGTCCTGAACAGGTACTCATGGCAGCTGTGCAGTTCAGGTCTTGTGCCCACGTGTGGGAATTCATTAATTCAGAGGATACCGTTTCTCATTCTAGAAGGTTATTGTAGATATAATGGTGAATATTGTAAATTTCATGAAGCTGAAACCAGAAAGATTCTAGTGTTGTTCATCATATTGTATAACTAATATATGAGGCAGAATTCAGTAAAAATGATGCCTATGGTTCAAGCCACATGACCACTATTTAAGTGAGTCTCTTACAGTAGTTTACCAGGAGGGAAAGAAATGAACCTTCTCCAGAGTGTTGTGCCTGCGGTAAGAAATAATAACAAATGTTTCCAGTATGCTGAACCGTTGGATACCAAGGGCTAGGACATTTCAGAACTTGAAATAAAGGGCACAGGCTTGAGGCGGAAAAAAAATGAGGATTGAACAGGAAGTGCCTTTTCTATGAATGGAAGAAATAGGAGCAGTAGGTTTGAGGAAGAGTCCTGCCTGTCTGGTTAGAGGACCAAGGTCAGATAGTTAATCCTCCACAAAACATAGACAAAATTCAAACCAAAACTAAATGACTCAGCACAATGTCTTATGATTAGTATTCTAACTGACAAATAAGTAGCAGAGAGTGAACAAGTCCGAGGGGCCCATTAGCCTGAGGAGCTGTGGTAGTAGAAGGCTTCGTTTTTGCTGGGTTCTGAGATTGATTTTCTTCAATCTGATTTGAATGGATGTGAGGTATAGAAAGGTGTCTACATGATGTAATATTTTTCCTTTGTGTTTTGGTGAAATGTTCTGTAAACATGAAAAGACTTTTTTTAGTTTATTTATTTATTTATTGAGAGAGAGAGAGAGAGAGAGAGAGAGGAGAGAGAGAGAGAGAGAGAGAGAGAGAGAGAATCCCAAGCAGGGTCCACATTCTCAGAACAGAGCTTGATGTTGAACTCAGTCTCATGAACTGTGAGATCATGACGTGAGCCAAAATTAAGATTTGGCTGCTTAACCAACTTAGCCACTCAGGTTCTCTGAGTGGTCTCTTTAATGAAATAATAGGCTAAAAATTTACTAACACCTTAACACAAGACATTTTGGGAGAATGTGCAGGGGACACTGGCAGCAGCAGCTGAAAAGAGGAAAACTTGGGGAACTGGAAGTCAGAGAAGCCACCAGAAGGATGCCTGAATGTGTCTGCCTTTCTCATTGGGCTTTTTTCCTTTTTCACAAATGTATTAATTTATGGTTGATTGTTTTTACTGAAGGATGACCTTGATTTGTCTCTTGTAGACTTGCTGTAAATGGGACAGAGACACACTTGTTAATTGCCTAGTTTTCCTTTCACATCTATAGAATCATACCTAGTCATGAAAAACTAGAAAAATGTTTATACGTTTGATATGTTAGTTAAGTATAAAGCATTTTCTTCTTTCTATCAGGCATTTGGAATTTGAATATAGGCCACTTCACTTAACTATCCTTATCTCAAGTTTTAGAGAACATGAGGTTTGAGATGTCCTGTCAAATAAATAAATTATAAATATTTGTATGAATGATTATATAATGGTTTTATAAATAAAATGTATCTCCGAAACTATGAGGGAGGCAATATCTCTGAGTGGAGTCTCAGATACTGGGGCAGAAGAATTTTCAGCATTGGGGAAGGTAACCCTGGTGTCCCCAGAAAGCAGGGCCTATGATAAAAGCTTGCATATTGGAGTTTATTTAGAAAAGTGATCACAGGGACTGGGTGCACAAAACAGGTGGAGTAAAATGAAGAAAGAAGAAAAGACAGTACAGGGATTTTCTATCCAGTTGTACAGGGCTAGCACAGACTGGTTTCCACCCTGTGTGGACCAGTTGAAGAGCCTTAGAAAATGCATTTCAGAACTGTCCTCCCTGAGAGAGAAGATTCTGCCCAGTGGCTCCTGTGGGGTGCCTGTCCTCAACCCCTTTACTTCTGGGTTGTGTACCCATGACAGCATAGCTGGTACCTGGGTGTTCCATGCCATGAAGCTGGGGAAGCCCATGGCAAGGAGCTCCAGGTATTGAGTATGACCTGATGTCCACTATCTGATTACACCTGCCTGGAACTGGTCACAGCACCAGTGCCTGAATTGAAAGTGTGACCCAGGGCATTAGGAAGTGGCATGGGATTACCTACTGAAACAGACCACATGACAGAGGCCTCACAGTAGGCTGTGGGCTTGTTTTGAGATTCACAGGGAGCTCATACCTTGAGCCCATCCAACAGAATTATTATTTTAATTTTCCAACTTTTCATAACAAAATTTTCTATCTTTATTATGATAATTCAATGTCCACAATTATAGCTAACTCAGGTAACCGTGGCAGATATTGTCTAAAAATATTCTCGGGGTGCCTGGGTAGCTCAGTCAGTTAAGCATCTGACTTCAGCTCAGGTCATGATCTTGCGGTCACGAGTTCGATCCCCATGTAGGGCTCTGCACTGACAGCTCAGAGCCTGGAGCCTGCTTCGGATTCTGTGTTTCCCTCTCTCTCTCTGCCCTTCCCCCACACATGCTCACTCGCGCATGCTCTCTCTCTTTCAAAGATAAATAAGCATTAAAAAAAATAAAAAATAAAGATATTCTCAAATGTATGTTAACTAAATGGAATTAAAATAAAAACTTAAAAATGAATAAAATAAAAAATAAAAATATTAAAAATATTTAAAAGAGCTCCTAGAAAGAGCTCCTATAGATGTGCATGGTTCTCCTTCATCCTTATTTTTCTCTCAGTTTTCTTTTTCACACAGAAGTGAATGAGAATATTATTTATGTTTGGTATTGTATTTTCTGTTGTTGCTGCTAAAATAATACATGCACTTGGAAAGTAATCAAATGTGGTAGGATATACAAAAATCGTTTTTCTACTTCTAAGTGATCCCAGTCCATGAAGTCAACCCCTTAAACATGTATTAGGTGTACTCATAATTGTCTTATATATTTAAAATATTAGTGCATGTAAACAAACATGTGGGTGTAAGTCCCTCTCTCACAATTTGTACTCTCCTATCCATATTCCTAGACATTTATTTAGCTTTGATCTTTTACTTGCAACAATTTTTTTTCTTAATTTCTCCCTGTTGCCAGTTATGAATTCTCTTTCCTGTTCCTTGACATGGGCCAAGGGACATTTTCTTTCTTTTCTTTTGTTTTTATTATTATTTTTAAAGTTTATTTATTTATTTTGAGAGATAGGGAGAAAGAGACAGAGAGAGAGGGAGGGAGAGAGAGAATGAGTAGGGGAGGGGCAGAGAGAGAGAGGGAGACAGAATCCCAAGCAGGCTGCATGCTCTCAGCACAGAGCCTGTCGTGAGGCTCGAACCCACCAACTTAAACTCATGACCTGAGCCTAGACCAAGAGTCAGACGCTCAACCAACCAAGCCACCCAGGCTCCCCGTATTTTCTTTTTTGACTCATTCAGTCCTGGACGTTTCTCCTTTATTTCTTTGGTAAATCACACTTTCTTCCCCATGGGCAGTCTTCTCCAATGCAAATGTAACAAAACAGACCTAGGAGAAGTGAAAAATAGAGACAAATGAAGCTGGTGGTGTCCTTCCCTTTGCTCACTATGTCCCCAAGTCACTGTCTTGTAGTTCTGGGAAAGACCATGTTTCTTCTGTCACTGCAGACTCCTTTTCCTAAAGTGCTTTCTACATTTTCCTTTGGTTGTGAACACTTCCCATGTTGAGCTCATGCTCCATTTTGATAGAAGTGAAAGCACCACTACAACCCTCTCCTGAGAGTCTTGCATGTGTGCACAAGAGTGGACACTGGGGGGAACTTGGTGGTATTCTTTTCTTCTTATCTGTAGTGCCAAATGTGGCTTTGTGAGCTTATTTAGTTTGTATTTTTAAATAGTTTCTTTCTGCTTGTGTGATACAAAATTCGGTACTCTGAGGCTGAAAATGCTTTTTCCAAACATACCTACTATCAGTGTTTAAAATGGGTTTTCAGGAGTGTTTTTTCTTCCTCTACTTAAAATACCACTGCTTTGAGGTTCTGTTCTTAAAACTTCAGTCATGTGGGTGTTTTAATAGACCAATACACCTGAGAATATGCTAGCATCTTTACAACTTCTTAGCTTTATTGAATTCACATCGGCAAACCAAAGATACTTATTCACTAATTATCC